CCCTGTGGCCCAGCAGCTGGCGATGGGGAGCCCCCTCTCATTGCTGGACAGATTCAGCAACCCTGTCAGCTGACAGTACAAAAAGCAGGGTTTGCAAAAAGCATCTGACCAGCCTATGAAGCTGACTGGGAAGTGAAATTGAAAATGTTATTGAAATCCGGGACTGGAGCAATAGCCAAGCAGCTAATGTCCTTGCCTTGCACATGCCGGAATCCCACATGGGAACAGATTCTATTCCTGGTGGTCCTGCTTCAAATCCAGCTCCCTGTTTGTGGCCTGGGAAGGCAGTTGAGGATGGTCCAATGCCTTGGGACCCTGCACCAATGGAGACCCAGAAGAAATCCTGGCTCCTGGCTTCGGATCAGCTCAGCTCTGGTCATTTCAGCCACTTGAGGAATGAATCAACAGAAGGTAGATCTTCCTCTCTGTATATCTGATTTTCCAGTAAGAAAAAGTTATTGAAATCCATGTAGCTTTTCCAAGTATGCATTTTCCTATGGGTTATTTCGAAGTCCCTAATACTTAAATTCACCCTTAAATAAATAAGTTCCTTCCTGAAGGTTATGGAAAATGGAAGTTACAACATGCTTTTGGTTCAATCAGTTTTTAAATCCATGCAAGATGTTCTTTAAGTTCATCAACACGGGTACTATAAAATGCAGAACTCAGTTTATTTTGGTTCACAATATTTATTTGAAAGGCAGTTAAGAGAGGGGCAGAAATAAAGAAGAGAGATTGCCCATCTGCTAGTTCACTCTTTAAATGCCTGCAGAGGGAGGGGCTGGGCCAGACTGAAGGCAGGAGCCTGGAGCTTCTTGGGACTCCCATGAGGGTGCAGGGGCCCAGGCACTTGGGTTACCTTCTGTCGTCTTCCCAGACCACTAGCAGGGAGCTGGAAGGGAAGTGGAGCAGTTGGCACCCAAACTGGCATCTATATGAAATACTGGCACTGCACAGTGACTTAACCTGTTACACCACAATGCTGTTCCACATGCATTCTTACTTCAAATTTTCTGTGACTATTCTGAAGTACTTCATATGGTAAGAGAATGTCACTAACCAAAATACAGAGGATCATCCAAGAACATTCATCATTCATGAAAAGGCAGCTTTTACACATGGTATGATAGCAAAGTAAGTTTTCAGGCGAAAAGTTGTACAATAGAATGTTAAGGACACATTAACTATGTTCTACTAAAGGGGGAAATAAAAAATGTTTGACTAAGGCATCACACATACAGTTTGCCATAGTGGTTGGATTCACCAAGGCAAGCCTGGCACAGGATGCGTTCTTTTATATAAGCTTTTATTTACTTTTATGGTAAGGCAGATGTCTAGAAAGGAGAGATCTTCTATTCATGGTGTTCACTTCCCAGGGGGTGGCAACTGCCAGAGCTGAACTGATCTCAACCTTGAAGGTGTGAGCCCCTCCAGGTCTCCCACACAGGTGCAGGGTCCCAAGGCTTTGGGCCATCCTCGACTGCTTTCCCAAGCCACAAGCAGGGAGCTGGATGGGAAGTGGTACCAGCAGATGCAAGGTAAAGATTTAGCCACTAAGGTATTGCATTCAATGTTTCCCTCCTAGCCCCCCCCCCCCCCTTTTAAGACCAGGAAGACTTATTTATTGGATAAGCAGAGCTAGAGAGGGAGACCTTCCATATACAACTAGTTTACTCCCCAATTGGCTGAGTCAGCCTGAGGCAAGAAGCTCAGGACCTTCCAGAGTGCAGGGCCCAAGCCCCTGGACCATCCTCAGTGCCTTCCCAGGTGTGCTAGCAGGGAGCTGGGCTGGATGTGGAGCAGCCGGACTCAAGTCAGCATCCCGTTGTTTCCCTTCAGGAGTTACACAGGGAGATGGAGATGTGTGTCTCCATCTGCTGGTTCACTCACCAAATGACTGCAGTGCCTTGTTTGGCTCAAGCCAGAGCGAGGTGCAGATTCCAGGTATCACACCTGAGCCGTCCTCTGCTGCTTCCCCAGGCACATTAACAGGAGGATGGATTGCAAGCAGAGCAGCTGAGTCTCAAAGCGATGCTCATATGGAATGTCTGTGTTGCAGGTGCCAACTTATCCCCACTGTGTCTTGGTACACTTTTTAGATTTACTTGGAAAAGAGATGTACTTTTTTTTTTTTTTAAATTAAAGTACTATTAAAAGGTCAATAAATTAATAGGGAGAAAAATTAATACACGAAAGGATCAAAACTAGCCAAACACATTGGCTGAACTAGCTAATCCTACAAGTGCTAGGATCCTATCGGGTGCCAGTTCCTCCACTTAGTGGCAAGGACTCCCAAAATTAGGCCATAATTTACTGTTGCCCAGTTACATGAGCAAGTAGTTGGGCCAGAAGGTGACTGATACTCAAACCAGCACTTCCAAATGGGATACTGATGTACAAAAAAGCAGTTTAACCCACTGCGCCACAACATCCTCCCTACTCATCTACTTTGGTCATCTGTTCATTTCTCTACCTGAATTATCACCCATTGATGTCCTTTACCCATTTTTCTTGGGTATTTTATTTAAACACTTATTTTAATTGCCAAGTCAGATATACAGAAAGGAAGATCTGTCTGCTGGTTCACTCCCCAAGTGGCCACAAAGGCTGGAGCTGAGCTGATCTGAAGACAGGAGCTTCTTCTGGGTCCCCCATGCGGGTGCAGGGTCCCAAGGCTTTGGGCTGTACTTGACTGCTTTCCCAGGCCATAAGCAGGGAGTTGGATGAGAAGCAAAGCTGCCAGGACTAAAACCGGTTGTCCATATGGGATCCTGGTGCATTCAAGGTAAGGACTTTAGCTGCTAGGCTACCGCGCCTGGCCCTAAAATCTTAAAGAAAAAAACAAAAGGGACTAATGATCCCATGTCCACCTTTTGGTATCTACTTGTGAAAAACTCATGCAGGTTTGCAAAAGACAAATCTGGTTAGAATAATCAAAAACTTGGAAGAACCTAATCATCAGCAAGAGAACATTAGCCAAAGAGCTGCAGTACAGGACACACAGCAGATGAACAGAATAGAGCAGTACTTCTTAACAGGGAAAGTATCAGAGACACAGCTTGGAATTTAGGGAATTGGTTAACATGTTCACACTGATAATCTACCATGTCACCCCCCAAAACACCCCACCATCAAAGTATAAAAACTGCTTTTTTTATGTGTCATTAAGAAAAAGTTAGAAACCGGCATTTATAATCCAATTTGTATATCCCTCTTTCCAGAAATAAACTTGATCACTTTATCCCAGGGCTGTGATGAGCAATGAGACACAAACCTGCAGTTGAGCTATAAGCAAAGAGCTAACTGGCCCTTCTGTCCTTCACTGCAGTGTCCATGCTGCTGAGACCAGCCACTTGCTGTCCTGGTCCAGAGTGAGCACCCAGGGAAAATCCCAACTTGCAAGTGGAGTGTCCACTAACAACACAGAACAGCTTCTGCTTTGCATTACAAAAGATATAAAGCAAAGTAATAAGCATTTAAAATACTGCAACATACTCAAAGCTGATGGAGGACAACCACCTAGCCTTTTTTTTTCCCCCAGCAAGAAAGCTGAGAATCACAGGTTAGCAGTAACAGAAAATTCAAATTGACTTAAGGAGATTTTGAAGTGGGAATGGAAATGAAGAGCTGGCCTACCACAAGCAGATACACAGACCTGCCCTTTTATGTTGCTGACTGAAGTGACAAACTAAGAAAACGCCTAGACTTGAAGCAAGGATAGCTTTGGTTTTAGACTGTGGCACACAAGCCCCTGAAGAATTATTAGCAGTCGTTTATGACCGACAACTGGCTGCTTCTCTTCAAGACAACATGACCAAGACCCAGAAACCAGATTTCCAAGATGCATTAACATGAACAGTTTTTTTTTTTTAACATTTTTTCCTTTATGTGAAAGGTAGAGTTACAGAAAGAGCGAGTGAGCGACAGAATGAATTGATCTTCCATTCACTGCATCAGCTTGCAAATGGCTACAATGGCTGGGGTTGGGAAAGGCACCTAGAATTCTATCCAAGTGGGCTGCAAAGTTTCCAGTAGTTGAGCCACTTTCCCTTGCCTTCCCAGGCACGTTAGCAGGGAGCAGGATCAGAAGTAGAGGAGCTGAGATTCAAACAGGCACTTAAATGGGATGGTGGCACTGCATCAGATGGCTTACCTCCCCACACGACACCTGCCCTTCACAGGTATCCTTAATCTGGCTTGTGGTGTCCCACCCAGCAGCAACAATATGATTACCTTGTCTTTCCAAATTTCAAAACAAAACAATGAAGCTGCTTCTGGACCACGCTGCATCTCCGCAGGTCACTCTGATGGCCTGGCTCCTGGACGCCTCCCCATGCTGCTGCTTGGCAGTCTTCCCTGAGCAGCAGCCATATCCAGGGAAGAGATGGAAACAGGTTGGTGCTGCACTTCAGCAGGGCAGCAGCCACGTCTTGGGAGACCCTTCTGCTATGGTGGCACAGGCCAGTCTAGGATTTAGTCATGTGCATCAACGGGTCTGGAAACTTTTAAATCTAGCTCTTGCTGCGAGTTAAAATAATAATTAGGGAACTTTTTTTTCTTCAACTGGATCCCTTTTAAACAAACCATTTAGGGCCAGGCGTATTAGCACAGTGGTTAAAATCTTCACCTTGCACGTGCTGGGATCCCATATGGGCGCCGGTTCTACTCCCGGCAGCACTGCTTCCCATCCAGCTCCCTGCTTGTGGCCTGGGAAAGCAGTCGAGGACGGCCCAAAGCCTTGGGACCCTGCACCTGCATGGGGGACCCAGAAGAAGCTCCTGGCTCCTGACTTCGGATTGGCTCAGCTCCAGCCGTTGCGGTCACTTGGGGAGTGAACCATTGGACGTAAGCTCTTCCCCTGTCTCTCCTCCTCTGTGTATATCTGCCTTTCCAATAAAAATAAATCTTTAAAAAAAATTAAAACATTTCTTGCCCACCTAGATGATGAAATTCTGTACCAATGCTTGAGTTTCTATATTAATGAAACATCAACAACTTACAGATAAACATTTTAATTGATTAAATATATTATTTTCAAGATCTTTTTGAAATCGCACTTTTACTGTACTAATCATCAGCCAAAGGCAATAAAAAAGTTTAAAACCCAAAATGTTCTAACATGAACACATGACAGGACCTGCTGCTATGTAAAGTAACACACATTGCTCCCAAGAACAGTATTTTTAGAAGATAATTCATCTTAACCTGTGCAAGGATAAATTTGTAATCAAAGGCTGGAAGAAATATATATTAGTGCCTGCTTTTTAAAAGTTTATTTTACATTTTAAATACAGTATTTTTTCTCATTGAAAAAAAAAGTCAGGGAATGCCTAACTCTGTGGTTCTTATACCATATGTACACAAGAGCTGTCAGACAGCCTGACAAATGCTTGGGATGTAACAGGATGGGCATCTGTGATCTGGGACTTCTGAACCAAAATTTTAAAAACACAAAGGAAGCACTAAGGAGAAAAACAATCCAGTTTCTGAACAAAGAACAGATTAGGTACATACAAAACCAGGTATTAAAAAACAAGTAAATGCACACAAACACAAAACTCAGCAGCCCATCTGCAGTGAAGTGTGTACGCCGCAGCGACTAATGGAAATCCTCCTTCTTACAAGAAGTGATTTATGACGTGAAATTGAAAAAAATTAACTTTCAGTAATAACATATAACATTGCATGTATATTGCCATCTTTATCATTTGTCTAACACCCACCCTTCTCAAAACAATCTTGAGACTAGCCAATTACGTACACAGTTTGAGGCAATTAATCCATATTTGTTTTTAGTAAGGAAAACAAAGATGTACTTTTTCCCATCAATGAAGACATAGATTAAAGCTATAAAATTTTAATGTGGGCATATGTATTTCCAATTTGATAGTGAAATCCTGTCTGTCTTGTGTGTAAGTGATAGTGCAAACGAGAAGAAAACGGGCTGTGTCTGGCAGTAATTTCCATTTCAGTGCAATGTTGTCCCCACATACTGCATTTGAACAATTTTACATATTTTAATTCAGTAGGTGCCATTTTGAGTTTACCAAGTCCCTAACTGTATGCTCTGTAGAGCAAACGGTTTCAATTTGAGATGCTGTATCAAAGCAAGACTTAATCCTGTTTGCTACTGGTAGTATAAAAACCAATAGAGAAAAAAGGCCTGAGTTGCGGAGGTTCCCTCAAGAACATTTGCTACATTTCATGAATCTTGATATTTCAATTGTCTTTTGGGTTGAATATTTAAGATTATTTTAGAAAATAATCCTCTGTAATATAACTAAACAGTGTACCCAAAGCAGAAGCAATCTGGGTTATTCAACCAGAGCAAGATCAAATTGACAATTTTTTTCTATACTCCGTGAGATCTTCAGCCTTAAATTTTAGAAATGGTAACCTTTGATCAAAGCCAGCTGCTTGTAACATACCAAATTCAAGGGTGCTGTAACTACCAGCTCCTTAAAACACACAAAGCAGGCAATAAGGGACTAACCATCAGCCAGGTGGGGTCAACACTGGGGTGTTTTATTTTGGAGACTTTAAATATTTTAACATTTAGCTCATGTAACTTCAGCATCCACTAGTGACTCTGTTGACCAGCACCTGAGGGCTGCATGAGTCTGGGAATCCCTCTTAACCCCAAAGAGTTAATGCTAAAGCATCTCCAGGAAATCCTTACTCCCAACAAGAGTTCACGAACCATCAGACCAAAATCAACAGGGTCAACACTGACTCTATGCTCCATCCAAAGTCAAAAGAAATTTCCAAGTTAAACACCATATTCTGCCTAACCCTAGATTCCAGACTTTGTTAGCATCTTTATCTGGTATAATAGACTCTGTAGTAGACTGATTTTGACCTCCACAAAGAATAGGAGTTGTCAAACTTGAGGAGATAGACTCCTCTTCCTGGATACTGGTGGCTGCCAGCGTACACTTCCTCGTGACAGTCCCGTCGATACACAGGTACAATCTCATCCAGTAGAGGCTTGGTGGCATTCTTTTTGGCTTTCTCTTCGGGAGTGACGTTCTCTGTGAGTAAAGACAAGTAAATGAACAGATCAGGAAACCATATATGCACCAATCAACTAGCTTGTCTTTGAAAAACTGCTTCTTAGTAATCCTCTCAAACCCTTCTACAACATAAATGTGAGCATGCACTAATTAATGGATTTAAGTATCTAAGTACCTCCTATATCCCAGCACTGAACTGGTGGGCCCTGGAAGCTCCATTCTCTTGTCACCACTGCTCCTATTTCTGAACCTCATTTTGCACTTCCACATGCATCCCAATCCTAATTCTCATGCATTTAAATAAGATCAATTTATCTAATCTCCCAGGTCTCCCACATGGGAGCAGGTTCCCAAGGCTCTGGGTCATCCTCTAATGCTTTCCCAGGCCACAATCAGGGAGCTGGAAGGGAAATGGAACAGCCAGGACAGAAAATGACATACGCTGGGCCTCTTTTGTTTTTAATCCATGTGAAACACTCTAGCTCATTTAGCTTAAGACTAATTTGGGGGGCCAGCATTGGGTGTAGTCTGCAACAGACACTGGTGCCTGTTTCATGTCTGGGATGTTCTACTTCCATTCCAAATAAGGAAGGCCCAAGTCCTTGGGCCCCTGTCTTCCTGTGGGAGCCCTTTTAATCTGCCTCTGCCACTGCGACCATTTGGGAAATGAACCAGCAGATGGAAGAGTTCTTTCAAATAAATACATCTTCAAAATTGCACAACTGGAAAAGATGAACAAAATAATCTTATTAACTTAAACAAAGTGAAGAATTAAATGGGATGAGGGATGGCACAGCCACACCTGTCACAGGAATTTTGGCGTAAAGCAATGAATGAAAGATTTTTGTTTTCAGATACATTGAAAACAAGTCCCTTTAAAAATTTTTTTCATTAGGGCCAATCTGATAGCCTAGCAGCTAAAGTCTTTGCCTTGCACATGCCATATGCCACTTGCACATATGGGTGCCACTTCTAACCCCGGTGGCCCTGGTTCCCATCCAGCTCCCTGCTTGTGGCCTGGGAAAGCAGTCGAGGATGGCCGAAAGCCTTGGGACCCTGCATCTGCATGGAGACCTGGAAGAGGCTCCTGACTTCAGATTGGCTCAGCTGCAACTATTAGGGTCAATCAGTGAACCACTGGACGAAAGATGTTTCTCTTTCCTCTGTATACCTGACTTTCCAATAAAAATAAATCTTTAAAAAATTTCAAAAACCCACAGGAGGAGGGATTACGACATCCTACTTCATCAGAGAAAACAAACTCCTGTCTACTTGGAGAGTAAAGAAAAGTCAATAACCAAGAAAAATTGTATTCTTCCTCTATCTGCAATTAAGTCTGAAGTTTCAATTAAACACACATATGGATTAAGACAGATGGGTAACTGAAATATGTGAGTTCAATCTTCAAGTGGGGTAAAGCTATGTTGACTCCTAAATAAAAAACACCAAAATAAACTCACAATTCCATTTCCCACCAATTTTTTAAAGCACCTTTGTATAGGAAATACAAATTTAGAAAAATTTCAGAACTGACAAATTCTTGCTCCTTTAAAATGATCTCACGCATTCAGCTTTTCAAATATACAAAACTGAATTTAAAAGGCATTCAAAAAGCAGTGTGACTGCAAACTGCAAACCCTGGCATACAGAAAAAAACTCATGTTCAGGGCCCATCTCACATAGGACGGTGGTGTTTCTCACAACCGTGTTAGCCTAGGCTGAGGCTGCTCCCTGTCTATAAAGTATTGATCAGGAAGCAGAACGCTGGCTGAATCTGAGCTGTGTCCCATTTCTCTCATCCTACAACCCGGCAGTTACTGAACAGGGAGCAATGGTTCTACCTTCTTCTTCCTCGTCGTCATCACTGGACTCGCTGACATGCACGCTGACAGCGGTGTTAGGAGAGTCTGTCCATTCAAAATACACCCCAAACCCAATGTCATAACTGTCTGTGGCAAATTCCCAAAAGAGATAGGATCCTTCTTCATGGGTAGGTACTCGAACAGTGACCACTTCTCCTCGGCCCACTGTAATCACAGAATCCGCATCCTGCCGAATCTTCTCTTTAAAGTCTTTGATTTGGGGTCGTGTCCACATGGAAGGAGCTGCTATCACTGGAAGCGATTCTAAAGACAACAGGATTACAAAGCTACAGAGAGGCAGCAGCACTCCCAGGACCGCATGCCCAGTTGTACCGAGCTTCCAAGTTTAACATGGAACCTCAGTGCAGCTAACATTCCAAGGTCTTAGAGGGGTAAAAATGCCTCCCTTGTTAGTGTTGCCCCAAAATTACTAAGCACAAGTGCTTGAAGGTCAACAAATCAGTTCAAGTAACAAATGCAATCCACAATCTTACAAGTGAGTTTTCCAACATTCTAATTATGTACGAGGATTTAAACTTTCTAACTGGAAGGAAACAGTGCTTTGACACCAGTCTACTTGTTGAGAACAAGCTTCTGGGGCTATTCCAAAGAGGTTCAAACAGCAGGAAACTTTGGCTAGATTAGTACCCCAAGAATGTGAGAAGTCCTGTTCCTGAGTAGTATCTGTGTACACCACCCTACTCAACAGGAATTACAAAATCTTGGTCTCAATTAAAAACACTTTTACAAACTCTTGCTCAGAAAAAAAAATGGGAGAGGGGACTGGAAACCAAGGGTTTCAAGGTTTATTCTGAAGCTTTTTTATGCTAATTATAAAAATCTCAGAAACCAAATATCTTAATGAACCACACTACCCCCACCGAGCTGCTCTTGTTCTCCATGTTTAGTTAATTCCTACACTCTCACTTCACCTGTCCCTTCCTCAGGCAGGCCTGTTCTGACCTCTGACTAATCACGCTCTCACATACTAAATTGTACATGTTATGTGTGATTCTACCACACCACGGATATACGACTCAAAAAACCTTCAACCAATTATTAAACTGATGAATGAGCTGCCCATTGGAAGCTAGCAGAACTTAAGAAATGCTAGTTTACCTTCTGTGCATCACAGTACCTTAAGTCTCAAAAACTGTGTTTCAGTACATGGTAGCCAGCCTCCCACATGGCCCACAGTGATCCCCATAGCCCGGGTCCTCATGCGCCTGGGAGGCGACCATCCACAATGTATCAGGGTTGCTATGTGTGACTGATACAATACAGTGGGAATGCTGATGCTTTACTTCCAAAATTAGCGCATAAAGGACACTGCCACTTCTGCCTTTTCCCCTTTGGGTTCTATACCCTGGGGAAGCCAACCACTTTGAGCTGATAACATGTAAGCAGCCCTATGCAGACTCCTGCCAGCAGCCAGCACTAACAGGTTCACCAAGTGAAGGACACATTTTGAAAGCAGAATCTCTAGTTCTAGTCAAGCCTTCACATGACCACAGCTTCAGCCACTGTCCTGACTGCAGTCTCTTTGAGATCCGCAGCTAGACCCATTGAGCTACCACTCCTGAATTCCTGACCCTCACAAATGGTGTAAAACTGTTAAATACCCAGTGTGGGTTACTTAAAGATAGTAAATTGGGTATGATTTGCTACACAGCAATGGAAACTCAACATACATATAAATGACATCTGATTTGCTTTCCTGCAGAAGCGGCAGAGGCAGACTACACAAGAGTGCTCCACCTTGACAGATCCAGGTAACTATCTTTGAAAGCTAGTGCCACCTGCCTGACACCTGTTCTTCAGTTTGAATTGCATGAATACATAAGCGGAGCCATACCTTTTGGTCCATTCTCCAGGGCTTCTTCTGCAGTTTCTGGTTCAAGGTCTTTTTCAGAGTTCTCAGTATGGGTTGTGGCCTGTCCATTTACTGACAGCATATCACTTGAAACAGCTGCATTCACTTTTGAAGATGTAGGCAAAGAAGCCCCAGCTGCTACTACTTCCTGTTGTTTCTGTAATGCTGCCTACAAGTCAAGAAATAGCAAAGATATGCTGACCAAGACGGCTAAGACATGAGACATTTATCCTGGTGTGCATTTGGCCTTCACACTTGTACTCAACAAGTAATCTCCAAAATATGATTAATAAAACAAAAACTGATAAGATTATCTATAATGAGTAGGAGTTGTGTAGTACTAAACTGATAATTAAAAATGATAAAAATTTAATGTGGACAAGAAACATTTCTGTGACTGGACAGTCATTAGAAGAACCAGGAAAAATTAAAGTAGGTAGAAATAACTTTAAGTAAAACTGATAAATACAAAAAAAACTGAACACAGTGTGGGAGATGGGGTCAGCACCATGGTGCAGCAAGTTAAGCTGACAGTACTACCATTTCATAAGGGCACTGATTTGAGTCCTGACTGCTTCACCTCTGATCCAGTTCCCTGCTGATGGCCTAGGAAAAGCAGAGACAGATGGCTCAAATCCTTGGGCTCTGCCATCCACATGGGAGATCTGGAAGAATCCTGCTCTGTGTAAGTGTGTGTATGGATAACTCTTTCAAATAATAAAATCTTGTATTCATTTATTTGAAAGGCAAGGTTATAGAGATAAAGAGAAGAAAGAGTGGTCTTCCATTTGCTGGCTCACTCCCCAAATTAGCCTTACAGCCGGGCCTGGGGCAGGCTGAAGCCAGGAATCTAGAGCTTCTTCCACATCCAATATATGGGTTCAGGAGCTCAAATACTTGGGTCGTCTTCTGCTGCTTTCCCAGCTGCATAAGTAGGGAGCTGGATCAGAAGTGAAGCAGCTAGGACTTGCATTGGTGCCAAACGGGATTCTGGTCGGCATCACAGGTGGTGATTTAACTTGTTACCATGCCATAGCATCAGCCCCAATAAATAAATCTTAAAGGAAAAAATTCAAATACATAAAGTGTGAATTAGGAAAATTAAAATTGCTGAAAACAGTCACAAAAGCAATTAATATAGGTAGAAACTGTAATGGGCAAAATCTGATAATATACCCTCAAAGTAAGAAACACATCAAATACAAATAGTTATTCTAACATGGACAAAAACAATCAATTGGGACCTGGTATTTAGCCACATCCTACACTGAGTGCCCGAGTTTGATCCTGGCTCTGATTCCTACCTCCAATTTCTCACCCATGCAGATTGGAAGTCAATGGTGATTGCTCAAGACATTTGGTCCCTGACACTTGCACTCAAGACCTGTACTGAACTCCTGGGTCTCAGCATCAGCCCAGTCCAGAACTAGTTGTTGTGGACATTTGGGGAATAAAACAGAAGATAGGAGTTCATTTATTATCCATCTAATCTCTGTCTCTCAAAAACAAAAACCCAGAGAAAAATTATGATCACAGTTAACTTGAAAACTACTAATCATGGTGCAAAAACATGCTGACCTAAGAATTAAAAAGGCTTACAAAACACAATTTGAGGTAAACAATATTTTCTCAATGAAAATCACTTTATAAGTATTAGATTGTTTATAAATATTAAGTTAAAGTGTCCCAAGTCAAAATGAGACAATAAAAGTAAATCCAAAGTACAAGAATTTGGGGACATTCCCATTCTAAATCAAGAATTGAACTACAACATACGTATAAGAAAAATGCACAAATCCTAATCGTCCAACTTTATCAGTTTTCAGAAATCAAGCATCTCTGTAACTCTGCCTTCTCCACAGGACCCCTTTCCAGACACCGCCCTACAAGGGTAGAATTATTCTCACTTGTAACACTACGGGTTTGAATTTCACATAAATGAATAACTAATATGATATATGCTATGAAATGGCTCTAGTTTTAAATATATACAAAGCCCTTTTAAACCCACAGCTTAGTGATACTATAATATTTTAGCCCATCTGTACACAGTTTCATTTAATGCATCATTTACAGATCAATTATGTAAATGAACATCAACACCCCTTTCTTTTGCTAGTCCAAGCTGGTAACATATTTAACACATTTTAAAATACCTTCTTCCAAGGCCTAGATTTTTAATAACTTCCAAATTAATTTTCCATGTGTCAGACTCCATAAAAGTGCACACAACCAACACAAGTCAGCATGTTCAGAACAACCAGAAAGTGGAACAGCATTTTTCATCGGTGAAATAGCCCCAGCTCAAATGCTCCTTTTCCACCAAGCTGTTCTTGAAGTTCCTTTAGCAGAATAAACAAACCTCAATCTCTGTAACCCCACTGCCCAAGAATATGCATCTACATACAAGAGACTGTGACTACCCACCGAATCTTTTCTACACTGTGGGAAATTCCAGAGAGAGTGAGACTGAGAGGAAATGCCCCAACAGTCAGGGCTGGGCCAAACTGAAACCAGGAGCTGGCAACTTGAGCCAAGGTTCCCAATCAGATGGCATGGATCCAATTACTTGCATTTTGCTCAATATGTACATTAATACTTTATAGGACTGAAGTTCCCTTTATTCTTTTCTTAGTGCCTGTCCACTTTTCCCAGAAGCAATCAATCTGAAAAGCTGAGTTTCTTCTAATCTCAATTACTGTGTTCTAATTATTTCAACAATTCTTAGTATTTTGTCCTCATGACTTACTTCAGATTGACAGTAAGATCTGAACAGGAGAATGAAGATGGCGGAATAGGCGGGATGCTGGACTGTTGCCATTGTCCATGCCTACAATGCTGGTCATTTGACTATGAAGAGCTATACTATGGTAATGATATGGGGGAACTCAATGAGGGGTAGAAGGGGAATTGGGAGGGGGAGAGGAAATCCTGGGGCCTATAGAACTATATCATAAAATCATAATTTAAAAATGACAAAAAAGATCTGAACAAGAAAGTGCATGAACTACTTTATCAAAGGTTTATCTTAATGGCTATCTAAGAAGCAAGGAAAGGGAAATAGCATGTTGAATAGGCTTTAGAGGACAGAGAGGAAAGCTCTCAAAAATAACACTGGTTGGTCCTGGTGTGGCAGCCTAGTGGCTATAGTCTTCGCCTTGCATGCACCAGGATCCCATACGGGTATCCCAAGCTGCTACACTTTCCATCTAGCTCCCTGTCTGTGGCCTGGGAAAGCAGTTAGGGACAGCTCAAAGCCTTGGGACCCTGCACCCACATGGGAGACCTGGAAAAAGTTCCTAATTTCAAATCAGCTCAGCTCTGGTCTTTGTGGCCGCTTGGAAAATGAATCAGCAAATGGAAGATCTTTCTCTTTGTATCTCATTTTCGCTGTGTATCTGTCATTCCCAAAAAATAAATAAATCTTTAAAAACAAAACAAAACAACAACAAAAAACACTGGTCTTGAATGAACTCTGGTTTGGCATCCTTTACTTCTCTGGTAGATTTCTACTGGGGAGATGAGGATGGAATTCCTGACTCTTGGCTTCAGCCTGGCCCAGTCTCACCTCGTTGTAGGCATTAAATTAGCAAATGGAAGTCTCTCTCTCTTTTTAATGTTTTTAAAAGAGGCCATTTGTTCTATACATAAGAAATAAAAGATGAATATAAAATCAGTATTTTCTATGTAGAGAGAGTATTTTCACAAGATAACTATTTTATTCCTTTGACACTCGTGCAAGGTTAACAGGGTAGGTACTTGTTTTATATTCTATTCTTATACAGTGAAGTAAAAACTAATAAATCAGAGCAATAGTAACTAACTAAGATTAAAGCAAAGCTGCAACAGAATCAAGACTGTTTCCAGACTGGTATTACTGTGCCTTTCCACCTAAATTATCCTAATACTAAACGCTACAATGTTGTGGTGAGCACTCTCTAGCTATGGTGCCTACACAAAGTGAAAATGGACCCACTGTAGCTCTGCTAAAGTGGCCTATGGCCTTAGAGGAGAGGACATCAATATATTGACTGAAGGATGTCTTTCCACCAAGGCCAGCTGGCCAGGCCCCCATGCTTCCAGGAGCACTATTAGAATCGATGCCAGACTCACTATAATACCACTGGCCTATGCAGCTCACCCAAACCCAAGGAGAATGGCTATATCATTTGCTACTTCAACAGCATGTTTTCTGTTGTAACTGCCAGTGCAACACCAAGTTCTGTCTAAAAGACAATTTAGAAGTTACACTATACCTTAGAGACTAACTAATGCAAAATGCATTGGCAATTGCTAAAAAGAACTTGAGTTTCCATGAAACTAAAAAACTTCTCTAAGGCTAGAGTCTGGTGGTGTCTATCATACCTGTTGCTGTGCAAGCTGGACTTGATACAACTGCTGCATGTACTGCTGATAGTGTTGCTCCTGCAACTGGCGGATGAGAATTTGCTGCTGTTCGTAGTTCCCTGGATACTGCTGGGCTGCATACTGCTGGAACTGCACGGCAGTCTGGGAGTTTAAAGCTGCCATTATCTGCTGCCTAAAAACATTAAAAAATATACACTAGTCTGACTACAGGAGACTGTTCATAATAAAATAAATGTTATTTATTGTTATGGCTTATAACTCAAAAATATCTACGCTAATAATCTATATTAATCAGCTTGTGTTACAAGCTCTGAATAAAGATTCATGAAAATAAACCTGACCTCTAAATTTTTACTTCAGAACATTATCGCCACCACTATTTTCATAATCCTGAACATTTACTATACACATTCTATGTGGCATGCCATGTTCATTCAAAGCATTTCCACGTCCTAGCCCATGAGGTCCATTATGGTTCAGTGACTTGGCTGAGATTATACTGCATTTGAATGCAGGACGTCTAGCTTCAGAGCTCACAGTAGTGAAATACAATGCTGCAAGATGATGTTGTTACACATGGCAGAGGGGAGAGATGCTGCTGCCCATGGCTTCTCTACTTCATATGTGAAAAATAGTTACACAGCTAGTAGTGGATGACTAATTAGTATAAAGCCAGTAAAAATTTCTGTATGTATACCATTTTATTTAAAGTATGATTTAAAAAAAATACTAAATACATCTGTGCATGCCTGGCTTAAAGATACTAATTTCTACGAACTATTTCAATTCTTTTTTATTTTGTTTCATACAGGCACATGATGCTTAACCCAGTAATGTGATCAACTTGATAAACTTGAAGCCATCTTACTAATGGACAAGTAACAATGCAAGTATCAGTCATATCCCCTCAATGTAGCACGACAAGGAGTCTACCTAGGGGATCAGTCCTGAAAAACAGAACATCATAGTCTCTCTTCAGGACAAATGTGGCCCTGCAGGAGTTTAAAGCAGGCACTGAAGCTTTTTCTGAACAACTGTCCTAAAATAATGAAGTAAATTCAATGGACCCTCACAGTCTGTGGTTTAACCTATATATACCGTGTTACTCCAAGAACCCCAGGCCTTCTTATGGGTACAAGTCACTTCTTCCTTGTATTCACAGCTCCTTCGTCAAGACTATTATTCAGAAACAGTCCCAGATCGCACAAATCCAGGCTCCAACAACTTTGTGTAGGCCAAAAAAAGGGAGTGATAATTTTTAGACAACAGGAGTAAGGCAGCAAATGAAAGCAAAAATGAGATCATATGAGCCCAGAGTAGACCAAGCAATTTCCAGGTTGTGAAAGCTAATCCCAACCAAAAGATGCTTAAGATAAAGCCCTTTCAGCAATATCAAATATGGATTCTTTTCAAGTCACAGAATTTTTCTAGAGTACATAACGGTAAAATTTCAAGTGGCAACACAGTGGCGGTCCATTTCTTATTTAAAATATAATTCACACAACAAGCTTACTTTTGCTGCTCTAACCGGAGTCTCTCCTCCTCTATTCGCCGCCTCTCTTCCTCCTCCCGCCGGAGCCTTTCCTCCTCCTCTTGTCTACGCTTCTCTTCCTCCTTCTGCAGACGTTCTCTTTCTTCCTCTTCACGCCGCCTTCTCTCCTCCTCCTCCTTCCTACAGTAAAGGACAAAGAATGAGTCCTAATAATCAAGCTGTTTAAAATTAATTAACAACTTCATTTCCCAGTGAAAACTGAGAAAACCTTTTACTAAATATGTAGCAATATCCATCAGACTCTGAAACCTACTCACATCACTAGGCTTATCACACTCAAGATCACATCAATATTTACTGCTGCAACAGAAGATGTCCACAAATAAGATACTTTTTACAAAAAGATTTATTTACTTATTTTAACTGGAAAGTCGGATATAGAGAGAGGAGGAGAGACAGAGAGGAAGATCTTCTGTCTGCAAGATACTTAAATAAGGGGCACTGGTTCCAGTCCCAGCTGCTCTACCTCCAATCTAGCTCTCTGCTAACACTGCCTGGGAAAGCAGAGAAGGATGGCCCAGAGTGTTTGTGCCCCTGCACCCACTTAGGAAATCCAGAAGCTACTGGCTTGAGGCTGACCCAGCTCTGGCCATGTGGCCATTGGGAAGTGAATCAGCAGAAGGAAGATCACTGACTCTCTGTTACTCTTTAAAAATAAGTAAGTTTGGGCCTAGCGCGGTGGTGCAAGTAGTTAAGGTCCTCGCCTTGCACGCCTGGGATCCCATTAGGGAACCGGTTCTAATCCCGGCAGCCCCGCTTCCCATCAAGCTCCCTGCCTGTGGCCCAGGAAAGCAGTCGAGGACAGCCCAAAGCTTTGGGACCCTGCACCCGCGTGGGAGACCCGGAAGAGGCTCCTGGCTTCGGATTGGCATAGCATCGGCCGTTGCGCTCACTTGGGGAGCTTCCTCTCTGTCTCTCCTCTCTGTATATCTGCCTTTCCAATAAAAATTAAAAAAAAAAAAAGTAAGTCTTTAAAGGATTTATTTATTTTTATTTGGGAAAATCTTCCATCTGCTGGTTTACTCCTCAACTGGCTGCAACAGACAGAGCTAAGCTGAAGCCGGGAACCAGGAGTTTATTCGAAGTCTCTCATTTGGGCCATCCTCTGCTGCTTTGCTAGGCCACCAGCAAGAAAATGAATCAAAAGAGCAACAGCTCAGATATGGACCAGTGCCCATTTGGAAAGCCAGTGCTTGAGGATGGAGGACTAGCCTGAAGAGCCAGAGGGCTGACCCCAATAAATACATCTTACAGAAAAAAAATAAAAACACTTAAGGATGCCCTCTACAATATGCTCACAGCACTAAAGGATCTTCCTATCTAACACCTGCCTTAACCATTCAAGTACACGCGCTCCAAAAGGACTAAGACTGCTTATCGTGTACCATTACATCCTCCAAGTTTGCAGAAAGAGTAAGTGCTCAACAACCATGTACAGAAGCGTACAATGCCTTAAGAGAAGGACAGAAGACCTAATGTAAAGGAAATGGTAACAAAAAAGCGAACACAAAAAGTTCTAAAAGACATACCCCAAACTGGTCAAAAAAAAAAATTTTAAAGATGTATTTATTTATTTTTTTTAAAGATTTATTTTTATTATTTTTTTATTGGAAAGGCAGATATACAGAGAGGAAGATTTTCCATCCGATGATTCACTCCCCAAGTGAGCGCAACGGCCGATGCTATGCCAATCCGAAGCCAGGAGCCTCTTCTGGGTCTCCCACGCGGGTGCAGGGTCCCGAAGCCTTGGGCCGTCCTCGACTGCTTTCCTGGGCCAAAGGCAGGGAGCTGGAAGGGAAGCAGGACTGCCGGGATAGATCCGGCGCCCATATAGGATCCCAGGCGTGCAAGGTGAGGACCTTAACCACTTGGCACCACTGTGCTGGGCCCAAGATGTATTTATTTTTATTGGAAAACCAGATAGAGGAGGAAAGACAGAAAGAAGATCTTTTGTCTGTTAATTCACTCTCCCAAGTGGCCACAACACCAAGAGCTGAGCTAATTCAAAGCCAGAAGCCAGGAGCTTCTTCCGGGTCTCCCACATGAGGACCCCAAGGCTACCACAATTGACCCTGTCAAATTTTTTTAATGTTAACTGTACTTCCCAAATCATTCTTGAATGTTTGGCCCAGTAAAACACTGCTTGGGACCCCATATTTTTATCTCGAAGAATGTGACAGTTCGGACTTGGCATGATAGCCTAGTAGTGCCTGATGTTCACTTGCACGTGCCGAGATCCCATATAGGTGTCACTTTTAATCCTGGTGACTCTGCTTCCCATCTAGCTCCCTGCTTGTAGCCTGGGAAAGCAGTCGAGGATGGCCCAAAGCCTTGGGACCCTGCACCCACATGGGAGACTTGGAAGAAGCTACTGGCTCCTGGATTCTGATCAACTAAGTTCCAGCCATCACGGCCATTTGAGGAGTGAACCAGTGGACTGAAGATTTTTCTGTTTCTCCTTCTCTCTGACTTTCCAAGAAAAATTTTAAAAACTTAAAATATTTCACATAAATAAATAAGCAAACAAACAAATAAATAAATAGATGTAACAGGGCCCAGCACAGTAGCCTAGTGGCTAAAATCCTGACCTTGTATGTGCTAGGATTCCATATGGATGCCAGCTCGTGTCCTGGCTGCTACACATCCCTTCCAGCTCCCTGCTTGTGGCCTGGGAAAGCAGTCGAGGATGGCCGAAAGCCTTGGGAGTTTCTACCCTCATGGGAGACCCAGAAAAATTCCCTGGCTCCTGGCTTCAAATTGGTTCAGCTCTGGCCTTTGTGGCCACTTGGGGAGTGAATCAACATACAAAAGATCTTCCTCTCTGTATATCTGACTTTCCAATAAAATTAAATAAATTAAAAAAAAAAAAGAATATGAGTTTTTGCCTATGAAAAGAAAGTAGAACTGAAGGAAAGGTAAGAAGACTTTCAGTGTTGGGCCCGGTGCGGTGGCGCAGTGGTTAAGGTCCTTGCCTTGCACGCCCGGTATCCCATATGGGCGCCGGTTCTATCCCGGCAGCCCCGCTTCCCTTCCAGCTCCCTGCCTGTGGCCCGGGAAAGCAGTCGAGGACGGCCCAAAGCTTTGGGACCCTGCACCCGTGTGGGAGACCCGGAGGAGGCTCCTGGCTTCGGATTGGCATAGTATCGGCCGTTGCGCTCACTTGGGGAGTGAATCATCGGATGGAAGATCTTCCTCTCTGTCTCTCCTCTCTGTATATCTGCCTTTCCAATAAAAAAAAAAAAAAAAAAAAAAAAGACTTTCAGTGTTTCATTTTTTTTTTAACAAAAGGAAAGTTCTCTATGTGAATGATATTTATGTATTTTTTTCTGAAATTACATTTTTAAGGACTAGTGCCATGGTGTAGCACCTTAATCCTCAACCTGTAGTATCAACATCCCATATGGGTACCAGTTCCAAACATCAGATCCAGCTCTCTGCTAACAGCCAAAGAAAGCAGCATGTGATGGTCCAAGAGCTTGGGTCTCTGCACTCATGCAGGAAACATGAAGAAGCTTCTGGCTCCAGATGCCCTGGCCCTGCTCCAGCTGCTGTGGTTTCTCGGGAGTGAACCAGTAGATGGAAGGCGTATCTGTCTGTTTCTCCCTTTCTTTCAGTATAACTCTGACTTTAAAGTAAAATACATATGTTTTATTTTAAGATTAATTTTTATTAGAAAGTCAGATACACAGAGAGGAGGAGAAACAGAGAGGATGATCTTCCGTCCGATGATTCAGTCCCCAAGTGGTCACAATGGCTGGAGCTGAGCCGATTGGAAGCCAGGAGCCAGGAGCTTTTTCCAGGTCTTCCACATGGATGTAATGTCCAAAGGCTTTGGGCCATCCTCGACTGCTTTCCCAGGCCACAAGCAGGAAGCTTGATGGGAAGTGGGGCATCTGGGATTAGAACAGACACCCATATGGGATCCTGGCACATGCAAGCAAGGCAAGGGCTTTAGCCCCTAGCCACTGCACCAGGCCCCACACCTACATTCTTCTACAACTCATAAATGCCTGCTCACGTTAGGAAATTAAAGCCATTACTGTAACTTGAGACCCAAGGGAAGACACCTGGTCTAGAACACACACTCCACAAAATATAATCAGTCTAAAGGGCTGCACAGGAGGAAAATAGTCTGTACCCTCAAACTTCACCTTTTTTTTTCTTGTTCTTCCTTCTCTATCTGGTGGGACGCAACGTATGTTGAAAAGAGATGGCAACATCGATTTAAGAGCTTGACAAATTCTACCATCGCATCTTCTTTAGACATGTTTCCCAGGGCTGCCCACTCTCTCCTGCAGGGAATAACAAGAAAGGTTTCCCACGTTTAAGAGTGAGAACTTGTCTGAACTTAAACCAAAATGTGAACTAATTCTCAATTATGATTAAAATGAAAATTAATTATAACCTAAGAAAAATGCTCAAAACTTGAAGTTTCAAAAGCATGTGATTTAATAAATTTAAATTTACTAAATTATACAGGTCACACACTTCAAGTTAACTGCATTTTCAATAATTCCCATACAGTGCTTTAATTTTCTTACATTTAGCCTTAACTGAACAAAATACATTCAATGTACTATGCTGCTGCTCTACATCCCAATAAGGTCATCAATTAATATGTATTTTAAATGGCTGATGCTAATATTATTTATGTTTATAATCAGATGAGTAAACTTCCATAATATTTAGCCATAATCATTTCTAATTGAAAAACAGATAAATAAGTGAGGTCTCCAGCTACAAAGAAAAATGCTATGGTTCTTTTTCTAAACTAATGAATCAGCTACTTACATGTAACCAATTGACACCCTTTCTAACACTATTCTCATTAATTTATGTATACCAAAAAATATTGTTACCTCCGGTCATTCCCCAACACATCAAAGAATCCAACTTCAGGACAAGTGTCTGGATTATATGGACCCATTAGAACCTGCTTATGCAGTGCTACAAGTTTTAGCTTCTCTTCATAAGTTGGATGAAATGCTTTGCCATCTTTCTCTAAAAAAAAGAAATACAAACAAAAATTAGCACTGGCAAAATACATAAATTTCATCACGATATAAAGATTTAGCTATAAGGTATGTCACAAACTGTAAACAATATTAGAGTTGAGATACTTACTTCAGGTTCGAAATTTCAAATACATTCTAAGGCAGAAACCTTCTATGCTGATTTATTTATTTAGAGAGGGTATGAGAGGGAGAGAGGGAGAGAGGGAGAGTACCTGTGACAAGCTATCTTTTATCTGCTGGTTCACTCCCAACAGCCAGGTCAATAGCCAGGGCTGGACCAGGCTCAAGCTTATAATCTGGAGCTTCTCAATCTCCCACACATGGGTGCAGGATTACAAGCATTGAGCCAGCCTCTTTTGCTTTCCCATACACCTTAGCAGGGAGCTGGATTGGAAGTAAAGCAGCCGGGTCTTGAACTGGCACCCACATGGGATGCAGGCACGTCATGCAGCACTTCACGTGCAATTTTATTACAGCCCCTATCTTCTTAAGTCATCTTCATTCTCATAAAGACTATGGGTAAAATTTCCATCTGTTGGGCCAGAGTCTCAAAGAAGAAAGATAACACTAAAAAAAGTGGTAGACACCAAGGAATTCCATTTCTACTAGTTTTGGGTCCACATGTAAATTTTTTATTGTATTTATGGTTTTGATCTGTTTAATGATATTTGCTCCAATAGAGACTAAAATTTGAAAACCTTATTTAATACAGAGTCCTTGGACTTGCATGGAAGTCAAGATAAGACACACTAGTCCCTCTGGGTTTTTTATGGTGTTGCTAAGTAACTACAACTCTCATGGAGTGTCAGTTGCTTTTTACCCAGGACATAAAGCAGGCTCCTAGGGACTCATTCCAGAAGAGCACTCCCTATTTTAGGTGAAAGGGCATTCCAACAGCTCATCTGGCAGGTACACTTAATGGACTGTCACCTTCAGCATCTCAGGTAATCCAAAAATGCTCAGTGTTAGGAAACCTTTGGGACGTGAAAGACAGCAAATCCCACCTGTTGGTGATTCTCTGAGAAGGAATTCCAGAAGCACTGTATCACACACTACAAATACCCTCTCTCAAGTTAAAGTCAGACTTCTGTACAAAATATGAAATGTTAACAACATACTTGATTGCAGTCCTTTATGATGTATTCTTTACAAATGGATAATGTTTAGCAATCAGTCAGTGAAAAGGAAGAAATACTCACTGCAGTCAGGGAAAATGGGTTAAAAATGGGTCTCTAAACTAACACTACTGTGCAGCTGGACCTGTTCCATAAGCAAGAGGGAAGATGGGATGAGACTGCATCTGCCTAATCTTGTAAGTCTGTATCAAAATAAAAGCCTGCAGAAAATGTGTAAGATCTGGACCAGAGGAGAGAAAATTAGAAAAGCTTGGTGTGCCTGAGTCAGTGTCAAAAGTGGACACTGAATCAATAGTCCAAGTGAAAGGTAATAACCTCCTACACCTGTCAGGGCACTCAATTTGGCCCAGGGGAAGCTCAGTTAGAGGCGGGGCAACTGTGTCCTGTTGAAGCAAATCTCTCCAGGACTCCATAACCCAGGCTAAACTGGAGGATTTTAGTACATGCACTCTCCCTTTCCAATTCACATTTATCTAATTGGAAAAATAATCCATCTTCTTACCAAAGCAATCCTAAAAAAGACGGAAACTTATTTGCATCCATTTTCGGTGCTCATAATCTTGATGAGGCTGCAGAATGCAGAGATGGTACTGGGGAAAGAGTGACATGAGGCTCCATGAACTACAACCTTGAAATCCAATCAGGGACAGGCCATACCCAGGGCTGAAGCTGACAGGCACTCCAATAAGCTCAGAAGCCAGCCAGGTAAATCATTACAAAAAATGCTTAATAATGAGGATGCAGAGGAAGTGTCCCCAAACCAAAAAAAAAAAAAAAAAAAAACAAGGATAAAACGAAAATCCTTCTGCCTATTAAAGTTTATTTTCATTTCTTTGAAAGGCAAAGTGACAGAAGCATGGTATCTTTCATTCACTGCTTCACTTCTCAAATGATTACAAAGCCAAGAGACCTGGTTACAGTGCCCTTAACATAAGGGAAAAGTTACAGAGTATTAAGGGTATTGATGTTGCAGCTGAAACAGTTTAAAAATAAAATGATCCGGGCCAGGTGCAGTAGCCTAGTGGCGAAAATCCTCATCATGCACGCGCCAGCATCCCATATGGGTGCCGGTTCAAATCCAGGATGCTCCACTTCCCATTCAGCTCCCTGCTTGCCTGCAAAAGCAGTCGAGGATGGCCCAAAGCACCTGCACGGGAGACCTGGAAGAAGCTCCTGGCTCTGGATTGGTTCAGCATCAACTGTTGCGGCCACTTGGGGAGTGAATTAACTAAGAAGATCTTCTCTGTCTCTCGTTCACGCTGTAAATCTGACTTTCAATAATGAATAAATAAACCTAAAAAAAAGGTGACGCTGCTTGCTGCAGCCATGAGCTGCAAACAATGGAGATCCAAGACGACACCTGCTAGAGGCAGCAAGCAGCCAGAAATAGGACCCCCGAAGGTCCTAAGGCATGCCCGAATGGGCTGACCTTAGGGCTAGAGCAGTGCATACATTATAAGCAAAAGGCTGGCCGCATCTGCTAGCAGGTGCTGGGACTAGTGGCAAGTCCTATCAGGCTAGACCATTGAAGCACCTGGAAAGTGCAAGATCCAGGGCTTCAAGTGGGCATTTTTTCCTAGCAGGGAATTGTGGGCACCCCTCTGATATGCTAGAGCTCCCATCAATGAGCATGAGGATCAGGGTTGGGGTCAGCTCTGGCTGGACAGGCAGTGGCATCTGCTGGCATGAGTGTAGGCTGGATAGTGGAACTGGTTGGGTTGAGCGAGGCTTCAATGCCCACTGATCCATACTAGAGTTGAATGGGATGTTGCACACACTGGCATGCACAGGGAATGGGGCTGGGTCAGACCTGGCAGGGGTGACTGGGGATCGCTCCAACAAGGCTGCAGTTCTTTCTGGTATGTGTGAGGGCAGTGTGTGTGGTGGGCAGTTAGGCTGGGCCACAGCATCCACTAGTTTGTGCATGAGATGGGGCTGGGGACAAAACTGCAACCACCAGTGCAGGCGGTTTTAGGCTGATGTGGATGATGGACTGAGCCGGACTCAAAACTGGCTGGTACACAAAGGAGTCAGGTTGGGATCACCAACCACCGCCCCCAAGGAGATCACTGGACTCAGAACTCTAACCACAGTGAAAATCATAGGATGTGTGATCTGACCGTGAAGTGTATGTGTCAGAACTGGGTCTCCACAGTTGCTGAGGCCTGTGCAGTGGACGGCATGCCCAGATGTTCAAAGGGGACCTGACAACCAGTTCACTGAGGCCTGCAAAGGATGTCTAAAACCATGGAGGGCAGAACAAACTGGATAGCTCTCTCCAGCAAGTTTTTCTCCCCTTTCCCTTTTAAAAAAGATTTGTTTATTCTTATTGAAAAAGCAGCTTTACAGGGAGGAGGAGATACAGATAGATCGATCTTCCAACCGCTGGTTCACTCCCCAAGTGGCCACAATGGCCAGAGTTAAGCCAATCTGAAGCCAGGAGCTCAGAGCCTCCTCTGGGTCTCCCAAGTGGGTGCAGGCTCCCAAGGCTTTGTGCCATCCTCAACTGCTTTCCCAGGTCACGGGCAGGGAGCTGGATGGGAAGTAGATCAGCCGGGACACAAACCGGTGCCCATGTGGGATCCCGGCACATACAAGGAGAGGATTTTGTTTAAGATTTTTTCCATTTTTATTGGAAAGGCAGATATACAGAGAGAAGGAGAGACAGAGAGGAAGATCTTCCATTTGCTGACTCACTCCCCAAGCAGCTGCAACGGCTGAGCTGTGCCAATCCAAAGTCAGAAGCCAGGAGCCTCCTTCGGTTCTTCCACATGGGTGGTGCAGGGTCCCAAGGCTTTGGTCATCCTCAACTGCTTTCCCAAGCCACAAACAGGGAGCTGGATGGGAAGCTGGGCTGCTGGAATTAGAATGGGTGCCCTATGGGATCCAGGCACATGCATAGTGAGGACTTTAGCCACTAGGGCCCAATGAGAAGAAATTTAACCACTAGGCTACCACACTGAGCCCTCAGTCCAGTTTTGACAGCAAGTATCTGCGGGAATTGAGACTAGGGCAGAATATGTCAACCAATACCCTGGGATTTCCCCAACGCTGGAGCAATGAAATCAACAATGTCTCAGAACTTTCAGAATCACTTGAGCAGTACCCTCCGATCATGCTCCACAATGTCCTAGCTTCCCCTGGCAGGCGAAGGAAGAAACACATCGCCAGTCAGCCTACCAGCTGCCACAGCCTACTCACGCTGTCCCAGATGAAGGTGCCTCTGGACTACACCACCACTTCCCAGGAGGAACCCCAGGTAACAACTACTAAGGAAAATAAACTCAAAAACTTTTTAATCAACACTGGAGCGAGGTACTCACTTCTAAACACCTAACAAGACCCTCTTGTCCTCCAAGACTATGGCTGCTACTTTCCACGAGTCCCTCGTTCAGCCTGCTGGCCAGGTTGAACCAGGATGAGCCAAGTTGAAGCCAGAGGCCATGAGCTTCTTCCAGGTCTCCCATGTGGGTGCAGAGGCCCAAATACTTGAGCCATGCAGAGCCCTTTTTCCCAGTTCATTAGCAGTAAGCCAGATTGCAAGCAGAATAGCTAGAATTCAAACTGATGTGCCCATAAGTGATGCCATCATGGCAGGCAATGGCTTTACCTACTATGACATAATACCAGACCCAAAATAAGTCAACCTTAAAAAGAAATAAAAGGAACAAATTTCTCAACCACCTGTAAAGCTTTGAGCTGTCTGAAGAACAAAGAAACTACCACCAGATTGGGGAGAGGCTAGAATGCATACCCATCACCAAAGTACAATTACCAGGATTCTTCGGAATAGCTGTGTTATATCTGGCTAGATTCCCAGCTTCAGACTCATGGCCAAGCCCCCTTCTGA